GTGGTGTTGGTGGTAGATAGTGATATGTATAGAATATGATAGTGGTGTTGGTGGTAGATAGTGATATGTATAGAATATGATAGTGGTGTTGGTGGTAGATAGTGATATGTATAGAATATGATAGTGGTGTTGGTGGTAGATAGTGATATGTATAGAATATGATAGTGGTGTTGGTGGTAGATAGTGATATGTATAGAATATGATAGTGGTGTTGGTGGTAGATAGTGATATGTATAGAATATGATAGTGGTGTTGGTGGTAGATAGTGATATGTATAGAATATGATAGTGGTGTTGGTGGTAGATAGTGATATGTATAGAATATGATAGTGGTGTTGGTGGTAGATAGTGATATGTATAGAATATGATAGTGGTGTTGGTGGTAGATAGTGATATGTATAGAATATGATAGTGGTGTTGGTGGTAGATAGTGATATGTATAGAATATGATAGTGGTGTTGGTGGTAGATAGTGATATGTATAGAATATGATAGTGGTGTTGGTGGTAGATAGTGATATGTATAGAATATGATAGTGGTGTTGGTGGTAGATAGTGATATGTATAGAATATGATAGTGGTGTTGGTGGTAGATAGTGATATGTATAGAATATGATAGTGGTGTTGGTGGTAGATAGTGATATGTATAGAATATGATAGTGGTGTTGGTGGTAGATAGTGATATGTATAGAATATGATAGTGGTGTTGGTGGTAGATAGTGATATGTATAGAATATGATAGTGGTGTTGGTGGTAGATAGTGATATGTATAGAATATGATAGTGGTGTTGGTGGTAGATAGTGATATGTATAGAATATGATAGTGGTGTTGGTGGTAGATAGTGATATGTATAGAATATGATAGTGGTGTTGGTGGTAGATAGTGATATGTATAGAATATGATAGTGGTGTTGGTGGTAGATAGTGATATGTATAGAATATGATAGTGGTGTTGGTGGTAGATAGTGATATGTATAGAATATGATAGTGGTGTTGGTGGTAGATAGTGATATGTATAGAATATGATAGTGGTGTTGGTGGTAGATAGTGATATGTATAGAATATGATAGTGGTGTTGGTGGTAGATAGTGATATGTATAGAATATGATAGTGGTGTTGGTGGTAGATAGTGATATGTATAGAATATGATAGTGGTGTTGGTGGTAGATAGTGATATGTATAGAATATGATAGTGGTGTTGGTGGTAGATAGTGATATGTATAGAATATGATAGTGGTGTTGGTGGTAGATAGTGATATGTATAGAATATGATAGTGGTGTTGGTGGTAGATAGTGATATGTATAGAATATGATAGTGGTGTTGGTGGTAGATAGTGATATGTATAGAATATGATAGTGGTGTTGGTGGTAGATAGTGATATGTATAGAATATGATAGTGGTGTTGGTGGTAGATAGTGATATGTATAGAATATGATAGTGGTGTTGGTGGTAGATAGTGATATGTATAGAATATGATAGTGGTGTTGGTGGTAGATAGTGATATGTATAGAATATGATAGTGGTGTTGGTGGTAGATAGTGATATGTATAGAATATGATAGTGGTGTTGGTGGTAGATAGTGATATGTATAGAATATGATAGTGGTGTTGGTGGTAGATAGTGATATGTATAGAATATGATAGTGGTGTTGGTGGTAGATAGTGATATGTATAGAATATGATAGTGGTGTTGGTGGTAGATAGTGATATGTATAGAATATGATAGTGGTGTTGGTGGTAGATAGTGATATGTATAGAATATGATAGTGGTGTTGGTGGTAGATAGTGATATGTATAGAATATGATAGTGGTGTTGGTGGTAGATAGTGATATGTATAGAATATGATAGTGGTGTTGGTGGTAGATAGTGATATGTATAGAATATGATAGTGGTGTTGGTGGTAGATAGTGATATGTATAGAATATGATAGTGGTGTTGGTGGTAGATAGTGATATGTATAGAATATGATAGTGGTGTTGGTGGTAGATAGTGATATGTATAGAATATGATAGTGGTGTTGGTGGTAGATAGTGATATGTATAGAATATGATAGTGGTGTTGGTGGTAGATAGTGATATGTATAGAATATGATAGTGGTGTTGGTGGTAGATAGTGATATGTATAGAATATGATAGTGGTGTTGGTGGTAGATAGTGATATGTATAGAATATGATAGTGGTGTTGGTGGTAGATAGTGATATGTATAGAATATGATAGTGGTGTTGGTGGTAGATAGTGATATGTATATTTTTTTGTAAAATTGTGATCGGGGTTGAGCCCTGAGATGAATAAAATTTGGTTTGGTGTGCAAAGCTATATGGTATGAAAGGAATTTGAAAAAGATTAAAAATAATGTGAAAGAAAAATAAAGAAAGAAATAATAAGAATATATGTGAAAGCCGCAACGGTGTGCTATATAGATATATATATATATATAGATTTATTTATTTATTGATTTGATTTAATTTGATTTTATTTATTTTTATTTTTTTATTTTTTGGTTTTATAATAATAATAATAATATATTAAGGAGGAAAGCATGTGCGCGGGTGAGAGTTGTAGAGAAAAGAGATAAAGATAGGTGAATAGTGGTGGATATGATTAAAGTGGGTCTGATATGGGTGGATATGATTAAAGTAAAGAAGAGTGGGTAGATAATAGTAATAAAAAGAAATGAAAAGAGGGAGACAAAACTCATGTGATAAAGTGGAGAGAGAGAGAAGAGGGTCAAGTCCCATGTGAGGATTTTGATCCTGATGAGATGTTCAAGGCATTCTTTGGCCAGACCAACATGTGTCAGACGTCACGTGTTTACAGGAGGGGAATTGCAGTAGCACTGTATCAGAACAACAATCTCAGGTCGATGAGTTATCATACTGTGCTTCATAAAGTGCATTCCTCCTTGCACATTCCAGGATGGTTTTGTCAGCAGTGATGAAGTATGCAGCAATGGATGCAGCAGATATGATGAGTGCCTGAACTGTATAATTGAGGTTTGCCTTTGCCCAAGGAATCACACGAACAGCAACCAAAGTAGGCACGGCACTGGCAACACAAGCAATGGAAGCTGCCTTCACTCCTGCTCGAACACCCTCTTGAGTGCAACGGCGGAGGAGGGAGATCGAAGACAACATCGGCGACGATGGAGGGACTGCGACCATCGGTGGCGACAGAGAGCACAAATTCCTTTGATATCAGGGAGAGTAACGTCGGGTTGAAGCCTCGGATGGCGATGTCGTCGACGGAGTATTTGTCGATGTCGTCGAAGATGAGGTAGGGCAGTGGCGGTGGGAAAAGGATGAGGGCGAGGGACCAATAGAGCCATCGGCAGCAGCGACTCCGGCGAGGCTTGGAGCGAGAGAGTTTCTAGTGAAGAGAAGAGGATGATCTGGATCGGTGACCTGCAACAATGGATGAATGCTACGTCAACAGCTGCTTTGCTCACACCGGCGAGGTTTTCTCTTCCGCCTAAATTGGGCAGGCTTCAGCACAGGTGATAGGCGTGTGGATACTGGTTCAGATCTTTCTGTATTTGTAGGAGATTTGGCTATGAAAATGAGAGGTCAAGGGCAACGATGGGAAGGTATGTGTAGAGGTCCGGCGGACGGCCAAGGCGAGGCTGCCGCCCGCCGGTGAAGCAGAATGACTAGGTTGTTAACCTTGCTCTGATACCATGTTAAAATTGATGTATAAAAAGAAATAGAGAATTGTATTATTGATTGATTTTTTGTTATGTTTACAATGATTCCTATATATAGGAGAGGGTGAGTGTGTAGTAGGTGAGAAGTAGGTGAGGAGTAGGTGGAGAGTAGGTGAAGTGGGTGGAGTAGGTGTAGTGGTAGGTTTTGGTACATTTTAACATGTATATTTAAGTGTGTACAAGTGTCCTTGGATTGGGCCCAAAGGAATTAGATTAATTGAACGCTAGGATGCATAACCACTCCCAACATACGTACTGGAGTCCATGCAACATAGGCAGAGTTAGGTTCCCTACTAAAGGCACCACCATAGGATGAAGCTTGAACTTTTACCATGGCAGTGGCAAGCTCAGTAACAATGGAAAGGGAGAAGGTCAACAATAAAACCCTGATTCCATGAAGCTTTAGGTGTCACCGTCCTGTTCATATATCCCAAATGATCTATGAGTTAATGTAATTCTCTTTCTCATTGACAGCAAGCAGGTCCTTGCTATCCTATGCATATACCATTCTGAAATACACGCCATCAACCATCCGAACAACCACTGTAAAACACCCACATTCAACGTCAATCTCTTCTTAAAAGCCAAAATCTTACTCTTTAATCCCATCAAACTTCCATCATGAAACAACCCTCACGGCCCATTTAAGGAATCAACCTTCATGATCTCTATCCATTATTGTGACACAAGCCCATGGCAGCTAGATAATATCTATCTAGTTCAATCAATGTCACAGAACTCCCCCATCACATCTGGTTGCCATTGAAGTAGAGAGGGAATTGGACACAAGGGAGAGTAGTGGGTCTGTTCTTGAAGAAAACAAGTAGTGGAGAAAGAAAGAGGAGACAAACAAGAGAGAATGCCAGTGAGAGAGGGTTGTTGAAGAGGGAAGGATTTTTTAGTGCAGAAGGTTTGTCGACATGTTTCACCAGTTTGTGCTGAGAAAAAGAGGCAGAAAAAATGAAGGGTTGTGTTTTATGTATTTCCACGACATTTGAATAGCTGGATGGTATATAATTTTCCTATATATATATATTGTAAGATAAAGTAAGAGGTGTTACTGTAATTTTGAAAACCTGAAGGGTAGTTCCTATGTTTGTTAGAAACCCAAGGGGTTGTTTGTGCTTTAATTCTTACCTTGCACAAGTGGCAAGGACACACTATTTGGTGGGTAAATTCTCTATGGTTATCATCCAATATATTTAGATTTACATATTCTTTTTTTGAGAGATCATCAGATGGTTTCTATGTTTCTTGAACAGTACATTAAAATTTCATTGCTGTGATATCTATCTTTGGCAGGCGGTTTGATGGCATTGAGCTCAATATTTGTTGTTACCAACTCACTGCTTCTGCAGCTCCATGGGTCTCAAAGGAACAGAAGAAAGAGCTTAGTTCACAAACCCGCACCTGTGGCTTCCATTGAGTTGAAAATCTAAGACTAAATTGAGTTTGCTTATTATACACATTCAGGTATAATAATAGATACCAGAACCCTCCCCAACCTATTCTCCTATACAGCAGTCACAAATTAAGGAATAAATGACTTAACCATGTCCAATGTGGTAGTTTTTTCTGCTCTATATTTTTCAATGTAAAATCTTTGTAGTGAAGACATTTTATGAAATCTTGAAAACAGGGACAGGATTTTAGCATTGAGTCTATGAAATGTTGTTGACACAAAGTGGTGAAGAAGAGAAATTATAGTTGCTGTTTGAACAAACCGGCCTATCTGGCATGCCTTCCTCAAGGAGTGCCAAATGCAGTACTAGTGTGAAATGTATGTGGTGATTGCTTATTACTAGTGTTTCACCCGTGCTATGCATGGGTTGTGTTTAAAATTATTTATATGTAAATTGTAATTTTTAATATTTTTTTTTTTGGCACACAGAAAAAGGAATATGACAAATGTTTTATTCAAAATTTAAAAATAATGTGCAGGCAAAATTTATAACTAAATTAAGAAAAAATTAATTCCTAACGACATTTTTTATTTCTATATAAATATTTTAAAAAATAAACCTGAAAAAGATAGTCAATGTAAATATTATACATTAAATAAAAAAATGTAACTAGCAATTATGCTTACATAAATTTACTATGGTTTTAATTTCAAATTTAAAAAATATATATACATATATATATTTTAAAGGCGGAAGCAGCAAGCAAATGAAGAAAATGGATTACAAAATCAAAATGACACATAAATTGATTAACTGGATTGGAATGTGCTTAATTAAAGAAATAATTTAAACATAAAACTTTTAATTTCAATACAAAAAATAACTTACAATTATAATTGTAGCAACTGCAAGGATCTTAATCAGGTTACACTGGAAGGGGTTGATTCTCACTCAGAGTTCTTAAGGTTTTCTAAAAACGAAGAATGATCTGAATGAATATAGATGATTACAATTTATAAAAATAAAATTAACTATGCAATATGTGAATTGGATGATTGATCGAAGGCAGTTGGCAGCGTTGGAGACTGAGCAGAGCTGTCGGTTGCTTTCGGCTGATTGATTGAACAGTTGAGCATCTTTAACAAAAGTTGATTGATGAACAGTATAAGTGAACAGTAACTTTTACTATTCATGTTTTCGGTGGAACATGTGATTAGGGGAATCAATATAAATACAAATTGGCAACTTTTCTCAAAAAAGTATTGATTGAACCTAATTTGTATTTATATAGAATCCAATGTTGATTAAGCAAAAGGATCCTGAGCATCTTGAAACTCTAGACCTAAAAATTGATTAGTTGATTCTTCAGAAGAATGTGAACTTTCTGAACCTTCTTCTGAACTATCTGAACTGGAGGTTGATTGGGTTTCAGCTTGATCCACAAGTTTACGGGCTAACTGGAGCAATTCATCTCTGGATGACTTGGGCTTATTCTTGGATTTGACTTTGGGCTGAGCAGGAGGTGAAACAGGCTTAGCCTTAGACTTGGACTTTGATTTGGGCTTTGATTGGGTCGGCTGAGCAGCTACAGCTTTGGACTTGGATTTATCAGACTTAATTTTTGTTGATTTGGGCTTGGAACCACTAGATGAGGGACTTCCAAGATTGACTGGAGGAAGGCTTGGGCTTCCTTGCCTGATTGCAACAGTTGGGTTCTACTGGGCTTTAACCATGGCAGGAGTAGGAGCAAGAGCAAGTTGATCAGATGGGAATTCAGCTGGACAATTTCCACAATGCGAGGCACTGAGAACTTATCCCACCATTTAACAGAATGTTGACGGATAATTATATTATCAATAATTCCATAATGCCATTTAAATATCTAAGGAATTTTATACTTAGATATAAAAATTAACAATAATGGAAATGTTCTTTGATGAGGGGTGAATGGGAAAACAGTGGCAAAACAGTTGATTTGGTCTATCAGAATATCAGGAAAGATTTCTGAAATGGCGCCATAATGAGTCCACCATCTCAGAAACCGGGAAGGTAATTCTGATTTGAACTTGTGATCAAATTGAATGAACCAGGAGTGACTGAAGGTTTCATTTTGGTACAAGAAGATCTTGAACCAAGCATCAATGTAATCATGGTAATTGTATGGAATAGAATGACCAGGTAACTCATGAAGCTAATAAGGAGGACCCCATTCAGATAGGGAAACAATGTTATGAATGTAAATAGAATGATATAGAACCTTGCTAGCATAGGTTCGATCGTAGATGGGTTTAATCAAAACTGATTAGTGATGGATCAGGATATCTTTGTAGTAGGTAAGTGATTTATCTAGATGTGAAAGAATAAAATGGCATCCAGATCCAAAATAGGGTTTAGCAAGATCAGAAACAGTTTGACTCTTGGGATGACTAGGCTCTTTAAAAAAGAGATTTGTGGAAGTTGATTTAACATAATCAGATCGAGCAGACCTGATTGGATTAGCAGGAAATAGAGTAATTGAAACTGCTTAGCTGGGAGAAGAAAAAGGATCTGTAGCCAAAGCAGAAGAGTAATTAGGTCTGGGAATGTTACCAAGAACTTGGTAATGGTTGATCATTTCAATAGGGTGGTATTGGGTTACTAATTCCAAAGGAGGAGGAACAATTTGATTAGGTTTATTGGTAGGAACCAAAGCCTTGGAAGGAGGCCTTAGGCGAGACATCTGTAAAAATAAACAATGATTAGAAGCAGAGATTAACAACTAGAAAGAAAATCCAAATAATTCTGGTAGTAATCTAAACAGTTGATGTAATCACCAAGTAAATTGCGATGAGCTTGGATTTGGTGGTAAATGATGTATTGGACTCTTTTAGTAGTTTTTCTGGTTAATTTAAGGCGAGCAATGCGATAGGATAATTGGTTAATCAGGGTTTTGTAATGGGTAATTTGTGATTTTAGGTATGGAATATGTGGAGTAGCACTTATCCCTTACCCCCTGTAAAAATTCCCCGATGAGAAAATCAGGAATGAAATTTTGACAACCAGGTAAATAGGCAATATCAAAATTAAAAATACTTAAAATAGCTTGCCATCGGGCAAAAAATTTGCTTACTAATAAGATTTTGAACATCTTTTTTCAAAACATATTTGGCAGATTTGCAATCAACACGAAGTAAAAATTTTTGATTTAAAATATCATCTTGAAATTTAGTAATACATAAAACAGTAGATAAAATTTCTTTTTTAATAATACTATAATTTAATTGTGTTTTATTCCAGACACCAGAGTGATAACGAACAATTTGTCCAGAGGGTTGAGGAGTGACTTTCTGGAGAAGAATGCCACCATAACCAATATCAGAAACATCAGTTTGAATAATTTTGAAAGAGTTATCAGTAGGAATACCAAGACAATGAAGAGACTTACCATAGTGTTTGACTTGTTTAGCAATAGCAGTATGAACAGAAGACCAAGGAAGATGATGATCCTTTAACCTATCAAACAGAGGTTGACAGACTTTCCTAAGATCTTTGTAGAATTCAGCAATGTAATTGAGGGAACCTAAAAACCTTTGTAATTGGGTTTTATCAAGAATTTCATCAGGAAACTTAAATGCAAACTCAATGAAACGACTAATGGGTAAAATAGTATTATGGTAAATATCATAACCTATAAATCGAACTTTAGTTTGAAACAATTTAATTTTAGGAGCAGATATGACTAAACCATGACTTTTAATTGTATAAAAGAAAGCAGTTAAATGCTTCCAATGGTCATTAATTTATTTGAAGAAAATTAATATGTCATCAATGTAAACAATAGAAAAATGGCTAAATGGGTTAAATATATCATTCATTATATTTGAAATTCACTAGGAGTATTTTTTAATCAAAATGGCATGACATTCCATTCATAGTGACCAAAAGATGTAGTAAAAGTAGTTTTATATCTATCATTGGGATGAATTTGAATTTGCCAAAAATCACTTTTTATTAGGGATATGATATCGAATCCATTAAAGAACAACATTTAATGGTTTATAATTAATAACTAAGCGAGGAACACCGCGTTCTAATTCAGCATTTTTATTAACATAAAAAGCAGGACAAGACCATGGTAATTTACTTGGACTAATTATGCGATTTTTTAATAATTCATTAATTTCTTTTTTACACATTTCAAGTAATTCATGATTCATTCAAATAGGTCTAGATTTCGTAGGAATATGTCTTTCATTAAAACTTTTAATATATGGTAATGTGACTACATGTTTTTTCCTATGCCAAAATGCAGTAGGTAAAGTAGAGCAAACTGTTGATTCAAGTTTTAATTTAAAATCATGGATTTGAGAAATAATAACGGGATCAGTTAATTGTTGATCAATTCTTTTATAATTAATTTCTTCTTTAAGAAAATTTAATTGTCTAGTCAATCTATTAATTGTATGAGAAATAGAATAATTTTTTAATTGATTTAATTCTAACATTTCAGGTGGAGATAATAATTCAAATGTAACAAGTTGTCCTAAAACATGAGTAGTTATTCCTTCACTAGATGTAGTAAATGGATATAATAAATAAATAAATGGTGTACCTAAAATGATTTTATCAGTCATGTTTTTTACTAAAACAAATGAGGTTTTAAAACAAACATTATTTTGACAAACATGAACTTTAGGTAATTTATATTTAATATGCATTTTGCTTCCATTAGCAGAGGTTAATTTCTCATGATATTTTTCATAATATTTAGTAGAAAGTAAACCTTCTTGAATACAATTTAAATCAGCACCAGTATCAATTAAAGCAATTAATTCTAATTCAAAATCATTAATAATAATTTTAATTTTTGAATACCATTTTTGAATATAAATTTTATTAATTAGATTTAATCTTTTCTCTTCAAGATTTGGAGGTTGTGATCGATTATCAAATAATAAATTAGCAGGATTAGTATGATCAGAATCAGAATTATTAGCAGATTCATTAGGAGATTCATTATTATTTTCTTGAAAATTGTCTAAACTTTGATTAAGTTTTAGAGTAATGATTTCATCTTCTAATTTTTTATCTTTATTTGGTAAATCTTTAATAGTTTGTTTAATCTGATTGATTTCATGTTGTAAATCTTGTAATGTAATTTCTTTGTGTTTATTTTTAAATCTATCTAAGGTTCTAGATAAACTAATGATTGGTTTATCAAACTTAAGTTTGGGATCATGATTAGTTAATAAAGATTTTAGTTTATTAGTGTATTTCTTTTTTAAATCGGGATCGTCTAGACGACTAATTAATTCAATAAGAGCGACTTCTTCTTGATTTTGTTTAGTAAGAACATTGATTTGTTTAACTGGTTTACAACAAACATTATTACATCCTAATTTAATATTATCAGATTCTTCACTGGGTGAATGTTAAGCAAATGAAGCAGATGAAGTATT